GACAGCAGTGACATCATTGGGGACCAGTGACATCACAGGGGACTGCTGACAACAAAGGGACATCTGTGATGTCACAGGGACATTGGTGACATAACAGGGGACTTCAGTGACTTCAAAAAGAACAGGGATGACATCACAGTGACACCAGTGACATCACGAGGGACATTGTTGAAATCACAGTGGACAGTGGTGACATCACAGGGATATCAGTGACATCATTGGGACAAGTGACATCACAGGGGACTGCTGACAATAAGGGACAGTTGTGATGTCACAGGGACATCAATGACATCGGTGACTTGACAGGGACCTGGTGCCACAGCTCGGCACAGTGGTGACATCACAGAGACAGCAGTGACATCATTGGGGATATTGTTGACATCACAGGGGAAGTGACCATAGAATCATAGAATCATAGAATTAACTGGGTTGGAAGAGACCTCCGAGATCATCAAGTCCAACCCTTGATCCAACCCCACTCTGATTACCAGATCATGGCACTCAGTGCCACATCCAGCCTCATCTTAAAAACCTCCAGGGACGGTGAATCCACCACCTCTCTGGGCAGGCCATTCCAATGCCTGATCACTCTCTCTGTAAAGAACTTCTTTCTAATATCCAACCTAAACCTCCCCTGGAAAGGTTAAGCCCGTGCCCTCTTGTCCTGCTGCTGATTGCCTGGGAGAAGAGACCAACCCCCACCTGGCTACAACCTCCTCTCAGGTAGTTGTAGAGAGTGATGAGGTCACCCCTGAGCCTCCTCTTCTCCAGACTAAACAACCCCAGCTCCCTCAGCCTCTCCTCATAGGACTTGTGCTCAAGTCCCTTCACCAGCCTGGTTGCTCTTCTCTGGACCTGCTCCAGCACCTCGATGTCTTTCCTGAACTGAGGGGCCCAGAACTGAACACAATACTCAAGATGTGGCCTCACCAGCACTGAGTACAGGGGAAGGATCACTGCCCTGCTCCTGCTGGCCACACTGTTCTTGATGCAGGTCAGGATCCATTGGTCCTCCTGGCCACCTGGGCACACTGCTGGCTCATGTTCAGCCTCCTGTCAATCGGCACTCCCAGATCCCTTTCCACCTGGTTGCTCTCCAGTCACTCTGTGCCCAGAGTGCTGGCACTGTAGCGCTGCAGGGGGTTGTTGTGGCCAAAGTGCAGGACCTGGCACTTAGCCTTGTTGGACTTCATCCCGTTGGAATCAGCCCAACTCTCCAGTCTGTCCAGGTCCCTGTGCAGAGCCCTCCTGCCTTCCAGCAGGTCGACACTCCCTCTCAACTTAGTGTCATCAGCAAATTTGCTAATGATGGACTCAATCCCCTCGTCTAAATCATCAATAAAGATGTTAAACAGGACTGGGCCCAGCACTGATCCCTGGGGGACACCACGAGTGACCAGCCGCCAGCTGGATGCAGCCCCGTTCACCAGCACTCTCTGGGCCCGGCCCTCCAGCCAGTTCTGAACCCAGCACAGAGTGCCCCTGTCCAAGCCATGGGCGGCAGCTTTTCCAGGAGTATGCTATGGGAGACAGTGTCCAAGGCTTTGCTGAAGTCCAGAAAGATACATCCATAGCCTGCCCCTTATACACCAAGCAGGTCACCCAATCATAAAAGGAGATCAGGTTGGTCAGACAGGACCTGCCCCTCCTAAACCTGTGCTGGCTGGGTCCGATCCCTTGTCCATCCTGTAGGTGCTGTGTGATTGCACTCAGGATGATCTGCTCTGTTATCTTGCCAGGCACTGAGGTCAGGCTGACAGTCTTTGGCCGTCCCTGCCAGCCAAGTTCTGCCCAGGCTCTGTGCACGGGGACGGAGCGCTGACAGTTTTCAGCCCCCGCGCTGTTCCACAAAGGCTGGGATGGCACAAGGCCCTTGCCTGGCACCCAGGAGATGGGCAAGGTAAGGCAAGGGCAGAGCTTCTGAGCCACCAGCACGCTGTCCCAAAGGCTGGGATTGTTATAGTCAAATGACCAGATATAAATTTTTTCTTTTAAATATATTGTAGAAATTTATTGAAGGCAAATAAGCAAAACAGCGCGCTGGAAGACCCGGGGAAACTCCTGTTCCACCAATGGTCTTCCCGCCAAAAACGTGTAATGATCTTTTATATGTGCCACTGTTCCCTCCCCTTTAGGCGGCGCCTGGATGCCGGGTGGCAGGTCTCGGATGGAGGTGGTCCTCAGATGGCAGCGGCTGCTCTCGGAGCGGGGCGAGTGGCTCCTCCCTCGGGCCGGCTCCTTGCTGCCACGGCTGCTCTGCCGCTCCTGGCTCGGCTGTGACAGGCTGTGCCGGGGGTTGTATCGCTCGGCTATGCCCCTTTATCCATATCTTTATAGGCTCATTTAAAGCTTACATTCAGAACTTGTTTAACATAGTAAGATATAGCTTTCCATAGTAACATAACATTGTGGTTTGACATTTGTAATTCAAACTAACCACTAACACTAACATTGCAAAGATAATTTGATTAGCAAATTATTTATCTTTGCCTTTATTAACTATTTCAGGGATGGCACAGAAGCCCAGAATCCATGAGGTTGGCAGAGACTTCTGAGGTCAACTGGCGTCCAGCCTACGACCCATCCCCAGCATGTCAAGCAGACCACGGCACTGAGTGCCATGTCCAGTCTTTCCTTAAACGCCTCCAGGGGTGGTGACTCCACCATCTCCCTGGGCAGCCCATGTCAATACCTAATCCCTGTTTCTGTCCAAAAATTCCTGCTCCTGTCCCTGACAAACACCTTCTGACAGGCAGGTCCTCGTGTCCTCTGTATACTTTTGTGTACATCTGGTGTGTGTGATGGGTCAAAGAGGGGATCCCATGAGCAAATGAGGCAGGGTGGTCTGGCATTATATTTCTCATTCCAGGTTTAAATTCACCTTTGCTTGATCCAATAGATGGGTGAGGGGATTCAATTTGAGGTCAGATGGTTACATTTACTTTTGATTCCATATTTTCCCAAACCCTGTGACCAGTTCCCAGGAGAGGTTCCTTTGATTTTCACTTCTAACAGTCTCTTCTGCTGAGCACACGGACAAGGTAAATAACCACACAAACAGAACTAACAGATGATAACCACAGTTACCAGTGAACTGAACCAGAGTCCAAACCTGAGGTTTTCATTCCCAATTCTGAATCCTTTTCTCCATTGAACAATTCCCTGTAAAAGAAAAGAAAAAGGTCTGTTCTGCCCCTTTTAGGGCCAACATTAAAATGTAGGAACAATCCCTTGAGAGTTTATTTTGTGTTCTTTGCCATGAGCATCTTTTGCTCTCCAGGTGTCCCTGTCCAAGGGAGGACCATTGGTAAAGCTCCTACAGAAGGCAGTGCCACTAATACAGGCTGGTCAGGAAGGGGAGAGGGGTTTTGATCATTCTCAGGCCTCAGTGCACCCTTTGAACACAGCAAAAGAATCCCTGTAAACACATACAGAGTCAGAGGGTTCAGCTTCCTGGTTAAATCCCCTCCAGACTGCTCCTGATTCTCCTGCCTGTGCCCTGCCTTCTCCTTCGGGGACTGTTTTGTCTCCTGGATGTCCCTGTAAAACCACAGCATGATATTTCCAAACTGCCCCTTTCCGCTCAGCTGAGGTCTCAGGAAACCTCCCATCCTGCAATTGCTCTGAGTGTGGGGGTGCCCCGTGAACCACAGAAGGGGGAGAATCAGCTGTGCTATTTACAGTCCCCTCACCTTGTCAGGGAGGGTTTTTGTGAGCTCCTTCTGTTCTCTGAAAGATGGTGCAATAATGTTCATTTTGAGCCTCCCATTTCCCAACAGGAGCTGGCTGGGCCACCCCGTCAGGGGGTGGGGTTCCTGTCAGAACAGGCTTGATGGCCTTAAAGGGTCCCCTTCAAATCAGAGACTGCTGAGGGACAATTTTTCCTGCTTCCCAAAAAGCAGTGTTCTCCAGAAATAAGCCCTTTTCCAAGTGAGAATATAGTTTTTGGGCATCTTTGACACTGCATGAATAAAACTCCACAGGCCTGGTAGGGACAAGTAGGTTTGTGCCCTAGTGTGGATGTGCTGGTGCCTGATCATGTTGGAGGTCCAGCTGAAACCTCATAACAGTGCAGGCCTCATAGAGTCCAAACACCTCATAAAAGAGCTCTCATCATGAAAGCTCTGTCTTCATAACACCCTTACATGTCATAATGGTGCTCTCCTCATAAAGCCCATCCAGCTCACATTGGGGAGGCCTCAGAAGGTCTCTGTGCTCATAGAACCCATCCACCCCACAATGATGCAGCCTCATAAAGGCACTGTCCTCATAACCCGCACAAACCTCATAACAGTGCAGGCCTCAAAAGGCCCCTGTCGTCATAAGGTCCATAAATCTCCTCATGGGGCTGTCATCATAAAGGAGATGTTCTCATAAATGCCATAAACCTCATAAAGGCTCTGTCCTCATAAAGCCTGTGCACCTCAGAAGGGCAAACATCATAAAGGCTCTGCCCTCATAAACACCATAAATGTCATAAAAGCACTGTCCTCATACACCCCACACACCTCATGACAGAGCTCTCATCATAAAAGATCTCTGTGCATAAAACCCATGCAGGTCACAATGGTGCTGTCCTCAGAAAGCCCAAATACCTCATAAGAGGCTCTCCTCATAAAGGCCATGTCCTCATAAACCCCATAAACGTTGCTGCCTAAAAGGCTGTAGAGTAAAAAGACTCCAGGCCAAACTAGGTAGGAAGTCAGAGAAGAAGCAGAGGTTTTCGTGACTTTTCAGCCTCCAGGAATACAAACCCACACCCATCCCTTCCAACGCAGGGGTTACAGTTTTTATAATGATTTCCACCCAATGCCCGTCCCGTCCCGTCCCCGCCCCGGTTCTGCCCCGCTCTGCCCCAGGAACGCCCGTGGGGAATTGAGTCTGGGGGAGTTTGGAGCTTTGAGCCGCTGCAACTACAACTCCCGGCGTGCCCCGCGCGGAAAAGGGGGCGGGGCTTCTACCCGCGGTGCGCGCGCACAGCCCCGCGGTGGCTGCGGGGAAAGCGATGGCGGCGACAGTGGAATCTGCTCCGCACTGTGAGCCTGGCAGGGGCTGCGGCGGGGCTGGGGATGCGCTCCGGGGCTGCGGGGAGCGCGGCTGTGGGCGGGAAGGCTGGAGGGCTCGGCAGAGTGGAGAGGAGGGGCTCGGAGGTTCCCGAGGAGGTTTCGAGGTCCGTGAGGGGCTCTCGGGGTGTCGCGGAGGGGATTTGGTGTCCTGAGGGCGCTCAGAGGGGAGGGTGAAGGTGCCTGAAGGGGTTTAGGGGGTCCCTGAAAGGGCTGGGGCCATGGAACCCCCTCAGGAGAGAGGTTTAAACGCCATGGCTGCACTGCGCAGGCGCCGGCGGAGTCCCCATGAGCAAACTACAACTCCCATTAGGACCACGCGGCGCCGCCATTGCTGCTCGTGCCGCAGCGCCCCCTGCCGTCTGGGTGGACCGACCGCAGGGAAAGCGGGTCTCGATGCCTCCCCCGAACCCCAGAGACCCCCAAAACTCAGCACACAGAGACCCCACAGGGAGGGGATCCCGGGGGTCCCCTAAAACCTATCAGTGGGGTTCAGGAGGTCTCTCAGCCCTCAGGGGAGGAGTCCTGGCAGTGCCACCCAAAGTCTTGTGAGGGAGATGAACCACATGTGGGTAAAGGGATCCCAGTGCCCCCAGTATAGCCCAGTGACCTCCCAGTAGCTCTCAGTATGGCCCAGTAACCCCCCAGTGACCACCCAATGTTTCCCAGTGACCTTCCTCTACCCCTCAGTATGGCCCAATGATCCTCCAGTGAGCACCCAGTAACCCCCAGTATGGCCCAGTAACCTCCCAGTGTCCCCCCATGTGTCCTGGTAATCCCCCAGTAATCACCCAGTCCCTCCCAGTGCCCTCCCAGCATCCCTCAATAACCCCCAGTCCCTCCCAGTGCCCCCTGGTTCCCCCCAGTGTGTCCCAGTATCCCCCAGTAATCACCCAGTGTCCCCAAAAGCCCCTCAAGTGTCCCCAACGTGTCCCCAGATGCCCTTGACCTTTTTGTGAGTGTGGGGGGACGGGGCCGTTTTGGGGGTCAGAGGGTCCAGGGGGGCCTTCTGGGGGGAGATGGAGGGTTGGGGACATCAGGGATGGGTTTTGGGGACAGTGGGGAGGGGTTTGGGGACAGTGGAACAGGTGGTGTCAAGGGGGGAACTGGGGCTTTGGGAAGGCCCTGGGGACATTGGGGACACCAGAGCGGTCTCGGGGTGTCAAATGAGAAACTGGGGACAGCAGGAGGGTCTTGGGGATACCAGGGGGGTCTCAGGAATCACCTGCTCATGGTGCTGCCCCTCCTGTCCCCCCCAGACCCCAGTAAGGCCCCCCAAATGTCCCCTAACCCCCATTTTTCATTTAATCACCTCCCCCTCAGATCCCTTTTACCCCCTAATTCCCCCAAGACCTCTTTTAACTCCCCCAAATGCACCCAGAGGCCCCCAAAACACCCCAAATCCCAATCAAACCCCCAACAAAGAGGGATCACCCAGCACCCTGGGACAGGAACACAGTGGACTGTACTGGGAGAGCCCTCATCCCCAAAGCCCCTCCCCTGGGCATCCGGGCCACGGTCTGGGAACCACGGCGGGGTTGGATCAAGGGGTGCACTTGATGATCTGGGAGGTCTTTTCCAAGCCGGCTGGTTCTGGGATTCTCTGGGTGCCATTGCCAGGGCAGCACATGCTGGAGGCTCTGTCCACAGGGGATAGATGTGTCTGTGCAGACAGAGAGACAAGGTCAGTCTGCAAAGATGTGGGGTTAGAAAAGCAGGAGAAGTTGTGGGGTGGTTGTGGAAGGAGAAAGAAGCCCCCAGGCCAGTGCAAGCAGGCCCCCCTGGGCTTGCACATCATCTGCCTTCCCTGCAAGGTTCCTGTCCTGGAGAGCAGGCCCTGAGGTGGCCCTGAGCAATGGCCCGGAGGTGAGCCCAGAGCTGGCCCTGAGGTGGCCCTGAGAAGAAGTGGAAGGCAGAGGTGGTGCTGAGGCAGGAGAGCCCCGTGCTGGGGAAGAGGCTGAGCTGGGAGTGCCCAGCAGCGAGAAGGTGCTGTGTCCATGCCCTGTGTGCCAGGTGAGCTGGGGCTTTGCTGCAGAGCTGGGGGCGCTGATTGGAGCGGCTGCAGCTGCTGAGCTGGTGGCACCCAGGAACACAAAGTGTGCCCGGCCACGGAGCCTGCAGGGAGGAGCAGGGACAGGGTCAGGGCCACTGTCAGCCTGGGGCTGGCTGGGGAGACACAGCAGTTTTGGGGTCCCCCTGGGAGCTGCCGAGGGTGGAGGGCGGAGCGGGCGATGCCGGAGCTGGGGGACCCCCGGCAGGCTGGAGGGGGGAGCATGGAGAGGGAGGAGCCCCGGGACCCCCAGGAGCCTGAAACGGGGAGAGCGGAGAAGGGGAAGCCTGGAGAGTGGGGACCCCTGGGATCCCTGGGACAACAAGATGGAGAACCTGGAGAGGGGGAATGTCTGGGAAGCACCACCCCGAAGGGGAGAGTCAGAGGAGAAGGGACCCTTGGGACCCCCAACACTCCCAGCATCCCTAAGTGGGACCCCCAACATCCCAGACAGGGGAGAACCTCTGAACCCCATAGGAGAGAGACCAGAGAGGGGGAACTTGTGGGGGAGATTTTTTTGGCCTAATCTTCAGATTTTAGAGTATATTTCAGCTGAATCTCAACTTTTTGCAGTTTGTGGGGCAGGGGTTTTCTTGCTCTTTCTGAGGGGGTTTTGCCTGAATCTTTATAGTTTGTGTTTTTGTGGGCTGAATCTTGGTGATTTGGAGGTCTCCCAGAACCCTGAAGTTGGGAGATGGGGGAGCCTTGGCTTCCTGGGAGCTCCAGCAGCCTGGACAGGGCAGGAACCCTGTAGAGGGGAGACCCCAAATACACACGGGACTCCCAGCAGCCCGGACAGGGGGGACCTCCAGAATCCCAAAGTGGAGAGACCAGAGAGGAGGAGCTCCTGATTGGGTTTTTTGGGGCTAAATAGTGATGTTTAGGAGGTTTTTATGGTCCCAGGATGGCAGGTGAGTTCTAGAGATGGACTTGGGCAGGAGGAACCCCCAAGCCAACGCACTCAGCCCTTTTTCCCCCCCAGCAGGATTTGTCCTTCCCAAAGCTTGGGCGGATGGAGGAGGAGGCTTCCAGGAAGATGCCACGGGCCCTCCAGGCAGGTGAGGAGGAAGTCAGTGCCCCTTTGGCCCTGTCTTTGGGTTTCGGGGCTGGATCTGGAGGATGTCCTTGGCCTTCCCTCTGGGCCAGAGAGAAATCCCCTGCCTGTCCTTCTTCCTTCCTGCCTCAGGCCCCGAGCTGAGGACGGAGAGCATGGAGGACAAATCCCCCCAGCAGAGCCTGGTGGGAGAGGCCGTTTTGAAGGGCTCCCCGGCGCAGGAAGGCAGCGGGGAGGAAAAGGCCCGGAGATGCAAAGCCAGCCCAGGGAGCTCTGAGGAGGAAAGACCCGTCCTGTGCCAGGAAGGCGGCCAGAGCTTGAGCCAGAGCTCCGAGCTGGTGGTCCCTGAGCAACCTCCCAGCAGGGAGAAACCCTTCAGGTGCTTGGAATGTGGGAAGAGCTTCAGCCAGAGCTGGAACCTCCTCACCCACCAGCACATCCACACTGGGGAACGGCCCTACACGTGTAGGGAATGTGGGAAGAGCTTCAGGGACAGCTCCTACCTCCGTTCCCACCAGCTCATCCACACTGGGGAATGGCCCTACAAGTGCTTGGAATGTGGGAAGAGGTTTCAGACCAGCTCAACTCTCCTCCTGCATGAGCGGATACACACAGATGAGAGGCCCTTCCGCTGCACCGACTGCGGGAAGGGCTTCAACCGAAAATTCACCCTCGTCACCCACCGGCGCATCCACACCGGGGAGAGGCCCTACAAGTGTGGGGAGTGTGGGAAGAGCTTCACCTGCAGCTCTGCCTTGACCAGACACCAACGGACCCACGAGTAAGGGAAGTCCTACGAATGCCCCAACTGCGGGATGAGCTTTGGCCGCTGCTCCCACCCTGAATGACCCCCTGATTGTGAGGCAACCTCTGGAGTCCAGTGACTGTCAGTCCATCCATTTCTAGCAGAAAGGGTCAGTCCCCTTTGCCAGGGGCAGGTTGTGCCAACAGAACCCTCCTTGGGGGGGTATTTGGAGATTCCTGCCTTGGCTGGGGACTCCCCAAGGTCAGTGCTGGAGGTTGAGAGCAGAGATCTCCCCACGAGCATTGGTCTGGGGGAGTTCCATCCCTCTCTAATGAATAATTCTTGCTTTGGTGCCAGCTTGAGTAGAATTGCTTCAACAGTTGCTTTAGTGTAGAGCACTGTCCTATCTTATGCTGTACTACTGGTAGTTTTGGTGTTTCTATTGTGCAGTAAATAATTCTGATGAAGATCTTTTGTCTGATCATTTGTAACCCCAAATAATTCATTTCTATCAATAGATGTGATTTGCCATCATTAAAACCTGGGAAACAAAAGTGGTTCAGTCCCACCTCTGTAATTCCTCTAAACTGAACATTGGCATAACCCAAGGCTGAGGTTGGATCCAGTAGCCCCCAGCACCCCACAGGAAGTTGGGAGCTCAGGGGGGCCACCTCCCTTTTCTAAATCCTCCTGTTCCCAAAGACTCCTCATGGGACTGTCGGACCTGCGAGACCACCCCCACTTTTCCACTCTTCTCCCTGTTACTCTCACTTTTCCAGGGTCCCCTTCTACAATCTGCTTAAATATTGCAGAAAGAACTTCAGGTTCAAATATTCCGTTGAGCAAAATTAAAACTCACCCAAGTTATGTGTTGATACCAAAAACTGATTTTTATTAATTGCTGAGAGATGCAAAGAGAACGAGGAAAAAATAAGAAAAGGTTGGAAAATGCTAAGATTATTTCTAGATGCAGAGAAAAGATACCACTGAAAACTTCCTTTACCCACCGAGCCTGATGGTGTGTGGCAGAGGAGAAGCAGTTTCTGCCTTTTTTTCTCTGTCTCTGCAGCTTTTGGATGTTGTCTCTGTAGCTGCAGGGGGTCTGACAGCTTTAGTTCTCTGCAATGCAGCATGTGTGGTTTCACCGCTCACGCCCCTGTCCCAGGCAGTTGATACCTTGGAGTTCTGATGTTTTGATTTTTTTTATTTTTGTAGACCTTAGAAGTAGTTATGTAGTAAATGTAGATTTTAGAGTAGCAGCATATTATCCCTTTACCCTTAACACACCAGCTCAAACCCCTGTTACCCATTCCCATATCAATTCCCTAAATTCCACAGCCTGTTTAGTCTCTTTTTCAAGGTAGAATTGTAGAAGAACACCCTAACCCTACGGAACAAGATATAACCGTAGACCCAACAACCTTCAGGCCTAGAATTCTGGAAGGCCTCCAAGGACATTACGTGCTCTGAGGAAGATGAAGATGAAGAAGAGGGGGTCCCAAAACGCCCCCAGACCCAATTTCCAAGAGGCGTGGCGGGGGCAGAACCTGGGTGGTAGCTGGACGGGATTGGGTGAAAATCATTATAAAAACTGTGGACATCTGTATTTCAGGAGTGCGCGATGAGGGTATTCCAGAAAGCCTGGGGGCTCATTAAAACTTTTGTATCCTTATCTCCTACCTAATTTGGCTTGGAGTCTTTTTTTCCCCACAGCCATTTAGGCAACATCTTTAAGCACAACTAATGGCCTTGGGAAACATCAGAAGGGGATTTGCAGGCAGCTCTCTGAGTTTTCCATCCTCAGACCCTCCCAGCTCCTCTGCAGTGTGTTTATTTATTTATTAATTTGTTTAATTACTGTTTGGTGGCAGTCCCACATACCTGCTCCATGAATTTCAAACCCTTGCAGCTGGATTATAAATGTTTGTTAACAACATTAGTGATGGTTCAGTGCCTTCAGTTGGGATGCAATTAAAATATATTTTATCATATGTATTTCCTTGTTCTGTCTGTAAGGATCAGGATGTCTGAGCTTTTCTAGCATATAAGTACTTTGCTTTTTTGCAAGATGAAAGTTAAAAAGCCTGTTTGGTTTTTTTTTTGTTGTGTGTGTGTATTTTTTTGGGTTTGTTTTTTCGTTTGTTTTTGGGTTCTTTGTATGTGTTTTTTTGGGTTTTTTTTTTGTTTCTTTGTTTGATTTTTTTTTTTTTTTAAGAAAATCTGGAAATTCTAATTTTTGCTTTTCTGAAGGAGGAATTCAACTTTCTGTCTGAGTAGAAATTTGCAACAGTGGAGGGTATTTTCTCTTAGATTTGTTTTTGCAGCCTGTGCTGGAATGATATACTCTTTTAAACTACCTTGTGCCTGAGCTTTAGATGTTTATTAGGGCCAAACAGACAACTCCAGGTTGAAAGAAGCCTTTAAAGTACAACAGGGTGAGATTGATCAATTCAGGTTTTGGCTTGGAAGCAACTGAATTTATGAAAAAGGGTGAAAACTAACTGGAAAACTCTTGTCTGCAGAGTGTTAGCATGAAAGGTATGGCTCAGAAATTCAGAGTTAGAACGGAACAAGAAGCCCCCAGTTCATTTTATTTAAGAGAGATATCAGCACTTAATTCTCATTCTTCTTGGGGAATTCTACTCCATGTAAATGATTTAAAAAAATTCCTCAAAAGATCTACTTAATGATTTTTAAAAATGCCTTTTTTTTTTTTCTTAATACTAAGGCTTATGCAGACTAAGACATAAAGTTAGTGATTTGCAAAAGTGCAGTGAGCCCTCAGGACAACCCACAATAAAATTCCGGTGTTCTGATATTGAATAAAATTCTGGTGTTCTGTTCCTTGTACTGAGATTGGATAGGTTGCACCATAATTGTACCAGTAACTGAACTAACAGAAATTTGGATTTTTGTCTTAATTTCTTTATTTCCCATTTATTACTGCATTTAATGACTTGGACTTAGTGTTCATAGCTAGTTCTTGGGAAAAATGGTTTTCAGCATACAAACTCCACCCTTTTTGGTGTCCCAGTGTGATCTGTGAGAGACTTATCTTTAATTAACCTAGTAGGGCCATTCCTAGGGCTGTGGGAACAGCCATAAAGTTGTACCACATTCCCCTTCCCTGCCCCCTTTAGTTTTTTGAAGTTAAATATTAATGTCTGCACTGCTGAAGGTTGAAGGCCTTTAACATACTCACAAGGAGTAAGAAAGATGAGTCAAAGGTGATTCACTTCATTATCTGCTTCTTCTTTGACACGTGGTGTTTCCCACCTCACCGGCTGCACGGTCACATTTTTGGCAATCTAGCAGTGAGTGCAGCAGGCAGTTTCTCCTTTCCCTGAAGTGAAAATACAGCTGTGGTCCCCCAGGATGGCAGCAGGCAGGTTTGCACTGGCCCCCAAGCCGTGTCTTAAAATGACATCTTTCAGTCCCACGGACAAATCAAATTCGCTTGCAGATCAGAACACTCAGAACTCCAGAAAAGCCAAATTGCCTTCCAGGTTAAAAATATGGATTGAAGTGAGAACCTGTTTAATGACAATTAATAGTAACTGAGGAACAAGAAGATGATTACTGAAAGATACTTGTAAAAATACATGTAATATAAAAGTAAATATAAGTACTATATATTAAAAATCCATCACATAACTTGCCAAGAAAGAGAAATTACATCTGTTTTTTCAGAATCATTTCACGTAACAAACACACAGCAGAACACAAATTCAGTGAAATGTCAGTGTAGAAAACAGCATTACCCAACTGCTACATTTTGTATTTTATGTGGTGGACAGATTTCTCTGCCTGGAAACACCTCTTCTATAATTTTGCCTCCTCTGCATGTACCATTCAGGTGACACATCTGTAATAGAAGGGTTAACTTTGTTTATAAAATCTTATGTGTATGAGGGAATAAGGAACTTTTGTTATAATTCAACAAGATAAGTTTCATGGACATCCTGTTAATCAAGCAAGTGTCAGTAAAAATAATTGCAGACACCTTGCTAAACAAACAAGTATCAGTATCAATAAAATTTACAACTGATAAGAACTGCACCTTTCATCTCTGACAAATGCCAGATGACCACTTAACAACGAGCCACGAACTCAAGCCTCAATACAACCGCATTCAAAACTCGGGACTTGGAAATGTATAAAAAGGAACATTTACTACATTTTTGGTGTGCCTCGGCGGGGTACTTGCCCTCCAGGCCACCCAGCGCTGTTTTGCTTTATTATCGCTTGCTTAATAAATTTATCAATGTTTAATTGTAATTGAGTTGTCTAAATTCTTATACTAACTTATAACAATTTTGGTGCATTGGCCGGGAATCCAATTTGCTTTGGTGTGGACTCCTGCAGAACAGGGAGGCGCCCTATCTCCGGATAGCCCTGCTCTGAAGGCTGTTCTCACCAAACCCTGGATCAATGAACCTAGTAAAATTTCGATAATAAAGCAAAAAAATCTGCAGACCCCTTAAATTTTGTACACGAAGACCAAACGAAGACCCCAGGGAGGGGTAAGTATAGAGTTTTCTTTTTTGGTGAGCCGTTTGGTTGGGGAGGTGATCCTAAGGTGTGCCTGTGTGAGAGGTCTCGGTACGAGACCAAGTGAGTGTGGACTCTCTAGTACTGCATTTCTCATGGCCCGCGAGGGAACAAGTCACGATCGAGACAACGCGAGTGTGTGTACGTTTCAAGGCACCTTAGAAGATGGGACAGAAGAAAAAGCAAGCCTTCTGATCCCATGGGGAAGGGAAAACAGAATAAGTTACCCGATATTTCCCACAAAGCCCATTAAGATTAAGGATAAAACATTAGAGTAATTCCCCTAGGAAGAAAAGTAAATCTAAGAAAAAGATGATACATTATTATATCGAAATTTGGAGAGAGAAGCCACTCTCTAATCCCCATATTATATGGCCCGTATTTGGGTCTTCTGAGGATTGGGTGTCAACAAACCCAAAAAAAAACCCAAATGAAAATCCCTTATGGCCCCCCCTCTATGCCCCTCATTACTCCCCCCCTTTCCTCAAACCCTCTTGAATCTCCTTCAGTCGCTGTTCCCGCAGCACCGTTGAATTTCCCCATTACCCCCCCTTCCTCAAACCCCTCTTCAAATTCCTTCAGTTGTTGTTTCCACAGCACTGCTGAGTCCCCCATTACACATCCCCCCGTCTGCAGATCTCACTGCCTTGTCAGATCAGAGGTGTGAAAATCCCGAAAGCACTAAAACTTGTAGGAGATGGACAACCCTGAGAGAAGTCAGAACTTTATTATTAGAAAACCTCTTGGGAACAACAAAACAGTTAAACCAAATTTTAAAACCTAATATATATACCTGGGAGAAAATGCAATCCAACGCCCCTCCCAGTGGGAACTGTAACTCAGCCCTAAATTGGCAACACGTAACTAATTATTATACTTCATTAATCTGGGGACTTTAAGTAACTAGCCCCCATGA